TGCCTACTCCAGGAACTGGGCCCAAATAGAACTTTCTGTTACCACTTATCTCTCATCTTTCCAGGCAGGGTACAGGAGTACCACTACGGTCTGATACCTTGCATTATTTTTAGGCCTTCGGGTGTCCGCCTAAAAATAAGTGAGTGAGGGAGGGCGGGAGGGTTGAGAAAGGGAGGGACAGAGTGAGAGAGGGAGGCAAGGAGGAGGGAAGGGAGTGAGCAATTGGGTGACTGAACAAACGAGCCACTGGGCGGCCGAACGACTGACTATGGAATGGCTGAACAACTGAGTACTGACCGGCTGAACTACTGACCACTAAGTGAGTGATAATGAGGAAGCAAGCAACTGACTGACTGACAGAAAAAGCGACAGACTGACTGGCCACGCACGTGACTGACTGAGTGACTGAGCGAGCAAGCGAGCAAGAGCAACTGAGTATGTGCGCAACCAAGTGAACAACTAGTGACCGAGCGAGGGAGCCTAGCTCTCAACTGACCAGCGAGAGCAACTGACTGAGCACGCAACCAAGCGAGCAAGAGCGTCTGGCTAACTCAGCAGGCGGGCCTCGCAATCAGCTGACTGACCGAATAACAGACTGACTGACCAAGCAAGTGACTGACTGACTGACTGACAGAGCGAGAGCAACTGACTGGCTGAGGGTGCAAGCAAGCAAGAGCACCTGCCTAACTCAACGATTGAACGGGTGAGTGAGTGACTGACCGACCGAGCAAGCGAGCAACTGACTTAGCGAGCAAGTGACTGACTGACTGACTTACTGAGCGAAAGACTGACTGAGCAAGCGAGTGAGCGACCGACAGATGAGCACCCTTGAAACCACTCAAAGAAATCCGTTAAAAAAAAAGGTTGTGTAAAATTGCATAGCAAACAGGTTTCGGCCAAGGATCACCTTGAAATTCATTATTACTTTCAAGAAAAAAAAAAAAAAACAGAAGGAGACTTGAGACGTACCCTTTTGAACCATCTCAAAACTGGTTTATGGCAACTTGGTACCCCCCTTGGTGACCCATCACCAAATTGGAAGATAACGCCACATTCTGACTGCTTAGGCCAAGCGCAGTCCAGGCCTGAAGAGTTTTTTTTTTTTTCCTTATCCATCCAGTTTTCCCAGGCAGGTCCCCCCTGCCGCCTGGTCTCAGTATGTTTGGCAAGTGGGCTGGTGGACTGGAAGCCCAGGTTGAAATGCAAAAAATGCCAGTACTGAATGTGCATTCTCAAGGTAGCACAACAATTCCAGATTCTGAGCTACCAAAATTTTCCTCTTTGCGTCTGATGTTTCTTTGGCACTCACTTCTCTCTCACTTCAAAGTTCAGAAAATTCATCATCGAGTACTGCTGCCATATTCCAGGAAAAGATTGAAGCTTTCTTTGTCTTTCCAACTCTAGTAGTGTTCCTACCGTCTTCACCCGAATAGAACGCCCGGTCATTATCACCGCATCTGGACTGAAAGTTGGGCCACATGCAGCTATAATGACCGGGCGTTTTATTCGGGTGAAGACGGTAGTCATTTTGCCCTACCTAAAAGATACAACTGGCATCTTTGCTTCTGTTACAGTTCATGTTGCAGATACCTTATTTCTGCATTCTCTCTGGATCTAAGACCAAATTGAGTTTTTATTTTTTTGAAAAGTTTGGACCATTTCTCGATTTATGCGTGTCATCCTTGCGCAGGGACCATGCTAATCTTCCTTCTCTGTATCGTTCATATTTTAACGGATGTCCCGACGGACAAAATTGAGTTTTTATTACCTTTTTTGAGTTTTAACTTTTTAATAATTTTAATGTCGCAGATCAGTTACCCTTGGCCAGCCGACTGGACTGCTTCAAAAGCCAGGCGTTGCCCAGCAATCTTCCTTCTTGTTTGCTATCAGACTCATAAGGGACGCTGGGCCCACTTCCCAGCACGTGCTGCTCCCCACGAAAAGATTGGAGCCTTGTGTTTGGAAAAAAAAAAAACTTGGCCGACTGTCATCTGGGCCAAATTTTTGACCCCACAGCTGCTGGGGAAATGCTGCCTGACTGATTGACTGCCACCCCTTCTTCCTGCCATCTCCACTTTCATCTATGTATGGTCCTGTCACTGAAATTCCTAGTGATGATGATGAGTGCATTATCTGAGGGACCTCCGTCCATGTATGTTCCCCTCACCATTCCCTTTATTGACAACAGCCCTCTTAACATGTTTCCATACCATATCTGTGGCACAATAGACTAGATAGTAGAAACAACAAAGATCATATAATGGAGCAACCAAAATTTCCAAATTTGTCACACGCACCTTGCCCTCTTATTGAGTGTTGATACTTGATCACCTCCCTCTGCGAGCTGTCTCAGTCTCTGGTCATACTCTGCAATCTGAACCACAAACACAGAAGAACCAGGGGTTTCCTTCATTAAAGAGGTAGAGGAGGAGGAGGAGAAGGACGACAAGGAGGAGGAGGAGGAGGAAGACACGGAGGAGGAGGAGGAGGAGGAGGAGGA